GGGGGGGGGGCGCCTGGGTGGCGCAGTCGGTTAAGCGTCCGACTTCAGCCAGGTCGCGATCTCGCGGTCCGTGAGTTCGAGTCCCGCGTCGGGCTCTGGGCTGATGGCTCAGAGCCTGGAGCCTGTTTCCGATTCTGTGTCTCCCTCTCTCTCTGCCCCTCCCCCGTTCATGCTCTGTCTCTCTCTGTCCCAAAAATAAAGTTAAAAAAAAGTTGAAAAAAAAATTAAAAAAAAAAATAAATAAAAAATGCTTAAAGGACACCTTCATTTTCTCATAATTTCATGTCTCAGTTTTTCTCTTTATATACAGATGTACACATAGTATGCCACCAAATCTCTGCACTAACCCCGACCTAGATAAAGCAAGTGTAGGCCACCTTGCTGTAAACAGAAAAGCTGGGACTGAAACCCAGGGCTTTCTGATCACAAAGCCTACGCTCATAATCTCACTGGAATATTTGCTGAGAAGTCTGATCTCCCTAGTAACTAAATCACTCCCTGATGATGCAGTGCCTGAGAGATAAAGTCACACTCCTGTCTTCTGGTCACCAAGGGATTGGATAGTGACCTGACAGAGTGAAGGCAACAGCCTTAAGTTTTGCCTTCCAGGGAGGCAGTGACATAAGGCTTTGGACACTTGAGTGGGCCAGAGCCAGATGCTTTTTTTTTTTTTTTTATGTTTTTCATTTTTGAGAGAGCACACGTGAGGGAGGGTCAGAGAGAGAGAGAGAGAAAGGAGACACAGAATCCAAAGCAGACTCCAGACTCCCAGCTGTCAGCACAGAGCCCAACGCGGGGCTTGAACTCGTGAACTATGAGATCATGACCTGAGCTGAAGTTGGACGCTTAACTGACCAAGCCACCCAGGTGCCCCGAGCCAACTGCTTTAAAAACAGTATTTGTTAAGTAGCTACTATATCCCACACTAAAACATTTCTCCAGGAGCAACTACACAAAAAACACTGTGTATATACATAATGTGCTATTCCCACGTGTTCGTACCTGGTGGGCTGTGGGGAAGGAACATCAAGAGACCATCAGATTCTTCTCAAATCATGACACTGTGGGGACACCTGGGTGGCTCAGTCAGTTAAGCGTCCAACTCTCCGTTTTGGTTCAGGTCATGATCTTGCGATTTGTGAGTTTGAGCCTCACACTGGACTCCATGCTGATGGTGCAGAGCCTGCCGGGAATTCTCTCTCTCTCCCTGTCCTGTGCACTCTCTCAAAATAAATAAACTATTAAAAAATTGTTTAAAAAATCATGACATTGTGATGACTGGTTCACTATGCTCTTCAGCTGGGACTCCAAATGACATACATGTTTTATGTATTTATTAGAGCCACATTTTATGCAAGAGATAGTTTCTGGAATCAGTGGGTAAAGGGATATCACATATTCACAAAGTTACACTTCAAAATCCCTGGTTACCATGGGTGATTTGCATACACAATCTGTAAGCCACATGCTGTTATATAAATGTATCACCATGTTGGTTTCTTCCATCTTGTACTCCCTGAGACAGATGATTAGTGAGTAGAATTTCTGGCAAAAACCTTCCTTGTTTTTTTTTTAAATTACAGTATTTTTTCTCTGTATATGATTGAATACATATGTATTAATTAATCTGCAACAGATATGGCATCACTATGGAAAGAGCAAGGCAGAGTCAGACAGACTCTGAATCCCAGCTCTGTCACTCCAAGTAGGGTCCACGGACCAGCAGCAGCCATATCACCTGGGAGCTTGCCAGAAATGTAGACTCAGGGGGCGCCTGGGTGGTTCAGTTGGTTAAATGTCTGGCCCTGATCTCGGCTCAGGTCATGATCTCACAGTTACGAGATCGAGCCTCACATCAGGCTCTGCACCAACAGCTCGGAGCCTGCTTGGATTCTCTCTCTCCCTCTCCCCCTCCCCCACTCGTGTGTACATGCTCTCTCTCTCTCAAAATAAACTTAAAAAAAAAAAGAAAGAAATGTAGACTCAGTCCAACACCAGATTTCTTGAATCAGAATCTGTATTTTTACAAGATTCTCAAGTGAACGGTATGCTCATTACAGTTACACAAGTACTGAAATAGACTAGTTACTATCTGAGGCTTATTTTAAACGAGTATCATACCACTTTCCCTGTAGGGTTGTCAGGCTTCAGTGAAATGTGGCATTTAAAGCACCTAGAACCTAACATGTTCAGTGATTGCTCTTTCCCCCATAGCCAAATCCATTTGCTTTATAGGAGCATGAGGAATACTGATACTTTTTTTTTTTTTTTGAGAGAGAGTGTATGCATGAGAGGGGGAGGTACAGAGGGGGAGAGAGAGAGAGAGAGGGAGAGAGAGAGAGAGAGAGAGAGAGAGAGAGAGAGAGAGAATCTTAAGCAGGCTCCACACTCAGTGTGGAGCCCCATGCAGGGCTCAATCCCACAACCCTGAGATCATGACCTGAGCTGAAATCAAAAGTCGGACACTTAACTGACTGGGCTATCCATGCTCCCCGGTACTTTTCTAAACATGATTTTTAAATTTCTCATTTTGATGACCTCAAGTGAAAGACCCTTGCAAAATGTCAGTTTCTCCAAGAAAGTGTCCTGGGCTCCCAGTGAGAATTAACCTCTTCCATGTAGGAAGAGCACTCCATGCCCTTTACTGGTTACGGACACACATCTGTCTGCTCAGTCGAGCGCAGGAGCCGGGGTGGAGAATCAAGCCCAATCTACTATCTCCTTCCCCACAAATCTGGGCACAGTGCTTTGTCACACAGCTCAAGGGCAATTACAACTGGAGGCGTTGTGGAAGGAACAGTGACAAAGCCAGAAACAGTGTTACCATGACTATTCCCAGGTGGGCAAGCTTCCAACAGCTGCTACCGTTTCTGTGGCTCCCGCTTGTTTAGCATTTGGAAGAGTTTCGGAACAATCCATCTCTGCATCTCCCCACCTTAACAGATGTGCTGTTTTACCACTTCCTTCATCATGTGACTAACTGGAAACGGAGGCAGATCATGATTGTGTTTAACATGCTGGACTGGAATGCTATGGGCGAGATTGGTTTTGACCAGTTCTACATGTTGGTCTGCATACTGCTGGCACAACAGGTGAGTAACAAGTCAGGATCTGGGGCAGAGGACGCAGAGCGTGGCTGCTGCCGCCATCTTGCTGAAGGCGAACTTGCAGTGAACTAAGACTGCATCAGACTTTGCCTTCCTTCCACTCGAAACAGGAAGAACAAAATATGGGGAAAACTAGCTTTGGTTCCTAAACTGTCCATTTATAACCTAGAAATTCCCAAGTTAGCCAGCCTCCCTCGCCTGCTGCCCCGCCCATCTTTAGCCCTCCTGCACCCTCTTCCGGAAGATAGATCTCACTCTATCACTTCCCTCCTTGGCATGTCCATCCTTGCCCTTCATAGAGAGTCACCAGTAATCCCAAGTGCCTCACTCTCTCAATGATCCCTTCTCTCAGAGAATTTTCTGAAGGGGACGAAAGATGGAAATGAGACACATTCTTCTTTGGGTTCCCACCTTACCTTATATATACTTTCTTGGTGTGTATTTATCTACTTCCCCCTTGGGAAGGAAACTTTTGTGTTCATCATCTTAACATCTTGTGATGTCTCACGGGCAGATTTTCACTCGAAATGCGTTCTAGTGACAAGGGTTCTGTCTAACAGAATTGATCACAGCAGGTGGCTTAAGTTCCCCTTGAATGCAGATGCTGAAGCAGGACTTGCCACATTGACCATAGAAAGCTTTCAACCCTGAGCTCCTAGGATTTTGCCTTTTGGTTTTTTGTGTTTTAAGTAGGTTCACACCCAGCACTGAGCCCAATGCGGGCTTGAACTCATGACCCTGAGATCAAGACCTGAGCTGAGATTCAGAGTCAGACGCTTAACTGACGGAGTCGCCCAGGCACCCCTCTGCCTTTTGCTTTCAGTTCTCTGGGAAATGGATAAGTGAATATACTACTCTTGATGCAGCCCAAGTTTTGAAAGTAGCACCAACAACACTGTTCATCTTATTAAGTATTTCTTCTCTCAATAGAATCACTTAGAAGAGCAGTTTATCTTCCGCCACTCCCGGCCTGTTTTTGAGCTGCTTGACCTGGAGGGGGAGCTGAGAATTGGTGCAGACAACTTCCACATGTACAACTTTCTCTTCAATATTAAAAAACAGGAACTCAAAGAGCTCTACCACGACTTTGACGTCACAGGTGACCGTGTAAGCGCAGATTCCCTAAGTGTGATTCCCTGGAAGCCTCTCTGTCCAAAGGCAGAGACAATGTCCTACTGCCTATGATAGACACAGTGGGGAGGAAGATGGGGAAATCCTGTTTGAGTGTATCATGGCACTGGGAGCAGGAAAAAAACCCCAGAGATTTATAGGCCCGTGAAGAGAGAGGACCGAATACGTGTTATAGCATATAGATGCAAAATTACAGAAGGTTAGAGACGAAAATTTTGTTTAGAAGTTCAGCGAAGTGACTAGATTAATATGGCAGGAGGTGACACTGGGGAAAGAGTGTATAGAGTTAACTAAGTAGAAAGGAAGAAAGTCTCTGGTGGTAACGCAGGAGCAAACTCCTAAGAGGACACAAGTATGGTAAAGACCCTGAATCCTGCCTATTTAAAGAGGGAGTCTATGGCAGGGAAGAGAGTGGTAGCTAAGGTTGAAAAAGATGGATGATACTATGTAGAACCTTGGATGCCAGCCCGAAGCGTCTGGACTGGACGCAGAAGTAAGAAAGTGACCCATGGCTCCTCTGGAGTCTACAATACACTCTCTGTTCCTGGCTCCTAGACGACAATCAGACTATAATTATGTCCTAATTATTGAGCCTCTTCAAGTTTCCAAGTTTTTAAATGAGAAATGATTACAATCCTGTAGTCATCTGAAACAAAGTATCAAATCCTTCCTGAAATAATTTTTCTTTCCCCCAACAAAAGCGTCTTAATTACAAGGAATTTAAGCTGTTTACTATCTTCACCATGGACAAATACCAGGAGAGGCAGAAAGCAGAGAAAGAGAATGAGAAAAAGAGAAAGAAAGAGAAAAAGGCTCTGCTCAAAAAGAAAACTCATCAGGTTAACGTGAGCTCCAAACAGTCTTCTTTTACAAATAGATCTGAAAGTAGAATGTAAGTAATTACAGCTGTTAACATGCCTAAAAATAAATTTAGAAGATCGAAGTGGGTATCTTTACATTGACTTCTACACATGAAAGGTTCAAATACGTGCTCTTCGATCAGCAAGTTAATCCTTTAATAACTTCTTGACCCCACAATAATGTAACGTGAAGTGCACATGTCTCAGTTCTGTTGCCGCTTTTCAGATCAACACTGCTCCTAATGTCCCTGTATATCCAAATACTTACAAACACTGGCTGGAGCTAAGCAGCTGAAAGACAATGATACTTTTCCAATGTTTGTTCACTAGTTGTCCAATACTCTCAGAATCCTTTCGATTCTCTCAATCCTTAAGCTAAAACCACCTGGATGCAAGACACTTCAAATTGGTGAAGTGCCTCTACCTGTAAGGGAAAGACATTTTTTCCTCTTAAAAACAACAACAACAACAAAAAAAGTTTATTTATTTTGAGAGTGAGTGAGCAGGGGAAGGGCAGAGAGAGAGGGAGGAAGAGAGAAAATCCCAAGTAGACTCTGCACTGTCAGCGCAGAGACCGACAGGGGGCTCAATCTCACGAACGCTGAGACGATCTGAGCTGAAATCACGAGTTGGACGCTTAACTGACTGAGCCACCCAGGGGCCCCAAGACTTTTAAGGATATAGGGGGCTTGTTCTTCCTAGGACCTAAATTACTAAGTTAGGTGCTTAAGCAACTGTACAAATCTACTACGGTAAAATAATTATTACATGTCCTTGTATAATTTTATTTTTTTGTATAAGTAATGCCTTGAATAATTTTTAAATGATTTTAGTATGGTACTTGTGAATTCGCCCACCTGAATGTACTGTGATATATATATATTTTTAATGTTTATTTACTTATTTTTGAGAGACAGACAGACAGACAGACAGACACACACACACACACACACACACAGAGAGAGAGAGAGAGAGAGAGAGAGAGAGAGAGAGAACAAGCAGGGGAGGGAACAGAAAGAGGGAAACAGAATCCCAAACAGGCTCCCAGCTGTCAGGACAGAGCCTGAAGTGGGGCTAAAACTCACAGAATTGTGAGACCATGACCTGAGCCAAAATCAAGAGTTGGACGCTTAACTGACTGAGCCCCAGGTGCCCCTGACTGCACTGTGATATTAATGGTGATAATTACCATTTAGTAAGTAGTTGCTATGGGTTAGGCAGGTGCTTTAGACGCATGAAGTTATTTATACTCATAACCCTGTGAATCAGGTGTTATCCAGAATTTACAGGTGAGGAAATTGAGGCCTAGAGAAATTAACAACCTTTCCCCAAAACACATAGTGTGCTAGTGGTAGGACCATGATTCAAATTGAAGGTCAGTTAGATGCCCGTGCTCAGAGCAAATGATCGGAGTAACTGACTTCAGTTCTAGCAGATTCTGTTTAAATTTCAAGCCAGGATTTCACTGGCTCTGAATCCCTTCTGCACAATGCTAATTACCACCTCTCCTTCTACTATAAACTTTAGAGGAGCAAGTTGGGCAATTAAAGAAATACAGCTCATTTACTATAAACCAGGAATTTCTTAAGGCTCGGTTATACATTATAACCAACCATAAGGCATCCAGACTTCATTACCTAATAACCATCAGAAATCACCTTCAATGTGCAACAGAAAAGAATACTGCTTCTCTAAGATTGTGGCTGGTAAGTCAAACTTGCACGAACACAAATCAAGTTCTTTACCATGAACACACTCTGTATTTAACATACAAAGTACCTCAGAACAATGCTTCTCTCTTCCTCTGATTTGGTGAAAAGTTTGCAGGTATTCCCCAAGGAGAATACCCTCTGGCAAACAGTTTAGACACTACTGCACAGACACAGAGTATTGAACTGAGACTGGTATTTAGCTGGAAAATGACAGCTGGAAATCCATCATCATTTCAAAGGGTGTTGCCAATAAGCTTATCTTGGGATAGGTTTCTGCCTCTTTTCTGGAAGCCTAGATAGCTTTTGCTACCAGACAGCCTTAAGATCTACAGAGTTCTGGGAGGAGAAACTATAATGAGGTCTTAGAAAGGTTCCTCTTTCCTATTTTCCAAGGGCAAAAGTCCTGAGATATATAAAAAGGAACCATGGCATATGTGATTTTTACAGACACAGTCTCTAAAACAATGAAGATACTATACCTTTAACTATTTCAGAATGGGGGTAGGAAGGGAGAAGGGAAAGTTGAAGATAAGTTCATTGGTTTGAATTTTAACTAAATTTTAAACTAAAATTTAAAATAACTTACTCATTTATTTCAGTTAATTTAAAATGAGTATCAAATGACTGAAGTTTCAGGAATGAGTTTTCCCTCCTCCCTGGATATCATTAGGTGACAATAAAAGGTACATGATCCAACTATCAGATGTTTTTAAATCCTTAAAAAAAAAATGTTTATTTCTTTCTTTTGAGAGAGAGAGAGAGTGAGAGCCCGAGCGGGGGAGAGAGAATCTCAAGCAGGCTCCACACCCCGTGCAGAGACCAACATGACTGTGAGATCATGACCTGAGCCGAAATCAAGAGTCCAACACTTAACCAATTGAGCCACCCAGGCGCCCCTAAGAAATCCTAAGAGCATTTTCATAAATTGGGCAGTTTAAGAATGGAATCAGGAAACTGAGCATTCAGCTCTGATGGGCCCCAACTGAAACTCTGTGTAAAAACTAAAATTCAATAGCAGGGGTAAAGTGACACTTTGGGGACTAGGGGTACAACAAAGAAAACAACCTGTCAACGTCTACTTTGGAACTTTTTTTCTCAATTACATTACAGGACTTCAAGTTTTTAAACTTTTTTTTTTTTTTTTAATGTTTATTATTTCTGAGAGAGAGCAAACACAAGTGGGGGAAGGGCAGAGAGAGAGGGAGACACAGAATCTGAAGCAGGCTTCAGCTGTCAGCACAGAGCCGGATGTGGGGCTTGAACAGCTGAACTGAAGCCGGTCACTAACAGACAGAGGCACCAAGGCACACCGGGACTTAAAGTGTTTAAAAATGTCTGTGTATGGGGCACCTGGGTGGCTACATCGGTTAAGCGTCTGCCTCCTGATTTCAGCTCAGGTCATGATCTCAGTTTGTGAGTTCGAGCCCCGCATCGGGGGTGGGGAGGCCTCTGCACTGACAGTTCGAAGCCTGCTTGGGATTCTCCTTCTCTCCCTCTCTCTCAAAATAAATAAATGTAAAAAAGTAAATAAAAAAATAATAACAGAATAAAAATGTGTATGTAGATGCTTCAATTAAGTTTATTTCCACAGTGAGTTAATCCACTGGGTCCGGTTGGACCAAGTACATTTACGTATTTTTTGGGTGGTGGTTAACACACTATATTCTATGTCATAGTTAGATTAGAATTCCTTGGTCAGCAAAACACGTGTTGTTCAGGGAGCCTAAGCAATGGGCAGAGCGGCCGCACTTGCAGTGCAGGAGAACGGCAGGCTGGGCTGGGGAGAGGACTACAGTGTCAGCCCCGGAACCCAGCACCACAGGACGGGTTCCTCCACAAACTGTATCAGCTATACAGAGGAAATCATCTTATGTTTAATTTTCATTTATTTTTGAGAAAAAGTGTGAGTGGGGAAGGGGCAGAGAGAAAGGGAAACAGAGAATCCAAAGTGGGCTCCACGCTGACAGGAGAAAGTCCGATGCCGGGCTCAAGCTCACGAACCGTGAGATCACCACCTGAGCCTAAGTCAGACGCTTAACCAACTGAGCCACCCAGGCGCCGCGAGAGGAAAGAATTTTAGAGGAAGCTAAGCAAAGTGAAATCATTTCTCTTCCACTAGTCCTTAGCCCTCTTGTGTTATCACTTGCCTCATGCCAAAGACAGAGACTAGAAAAGGCCAAATCAACTCTGCCGACACCTGCCAAAATGGGGCTACCTACGTGAACGCCCTTCACAGAGCCAGAGAACAGAAATCACAGGAGGCCAGTTACTGCAAGGGAGGTTATCAGCCACACTCTTCTTTCTTTTCTGTAAATAAAAATGTTAAATCATAACATTTGAAAGTTGGAGGCAGACACAGATATATTTGCTAATTATATAGTTCAATTAGACCATTAAAAAAGTATAGTCTTAAAAACCGTGGAAAGGGGCACCTGAGTGGCTCAATCAGTTAAGTGTCGGACTCTTGATTCCCGCTCAAGTCATGATTTCAGTCGTGTGGGGCTCTTGCATTGGGTATGGAGACTGCTTGAGATTCTCTCTCTCCCTCTGCCCCTGCCCAGCTTGTGCTCTCTGTAATTAATAAACAAACAAATAAGCAAGCAAATAAATAAATAAATAAATAGGTGCCTGGGTGGCCAGTTAAGCAACTGACTTTTTTTTTAACGTTTATTTATTTTTGAGAGAGAGAGGATGAGCAGGGGAGGGGCAGAGAGAGAAGGAGACAGAGGATCTGAAGTAGGCTCCTCACCAAGAGGGGAGAGCCCAATGTGGGGCTTGAACTCACACACCACAAGGTCATGACTTGAGTTTAAGTCAGATGCTTAAATGACCGAGCCACCCAGGCACCCCAAGCAACTGACTTTTGATATCAGCTCTGGTCATGATTTCATGGTTCGTGGGATCGAGCCTGGCATCAGGTTCTGCACTGTGTGTGGAGCTGGCTTAGGATTCTCCCTCCCTCTCTCTCTGCCCCCCGCCCCCCACTCAGGCACATACACACTCTAACAAACTTAAAAAGCCATAAAATAAGAGTGATTTTTCCCACATCAATGGGAAAAAGAACAATGAAAATTATTCAGTAAGTAGTATCAGGAAAAGTGGGATTAACTAGCTACCTACAAAAACAAAGAAATAAATCTGGGCAGCTACTATATTCCTTGCAACAAAATAATTCCAGATAATGAAACCATAAAACATATTAAAAACATGAGAAAAAAACTTTTATGATCCAGGTGAGTAAGACCTTCTGAAGTAAAGAAGAAAACCCAGAAGCCATAAAACACAAGACTGATAGATCCAACCAAGGAAAACTTCAAATTTGTGCATGGTAAATTACCCAAACCAAAAACAAATGGTAATACAGGATAGAAAATAACTAATTCCCTTAATATTTACAAATCGAGGATAAGGACCAAAATGCACCAGAAATATGAGCAAACAGACAATTTGCAGGGGGAAAAAAAAAAGGCCTAGAGTAAAATGCTAAACTTCAAAGAAAATATACAAAGTAGGACCACAGGACACAGATTTTCACTTAGATTGTCAAAGATCAAAATGTTGGTTAGGGTATATAGGAAAACAAAAGCAGTCATACTGCTCTAGTGTTAAACTGGTAAAATCTACTTGGAGGGCAATTGTGCTTCTACTCTCTAAATGTACAGACTCTTCGATCTAGCAATTCTCTCTTCAGGAGTGCATTCTATAGACATACATAGACACCAAGACATAACTATAGAGAAGGACATTTCACGGCAGCATGGTTTACAGCAGCAAGATTGCAAATAGCCAAACTGACCAAATTTAGTCTGAAATAACTGGTACCCCAGACAGTAGAATAAGAGGGATGATGCAGATCCAAGATTCATCATTTTAAAGAGTAATCAAGGTGCAGAATAGTATATGTATTTATGCATATTTACAGAAAAAACAGGGTAGGGTGGGTGAATGTATTCAAGGTACACCAGAACAGTGGTTCTAACGGTGTGAATCTCAACCAGCAACAATAGCACCTGGGAATGTTCAGAAAACCAAATTACTGTGGCCCCACTCAGAACTAATGTGGAACTCGCAAAAGTCCAGCAATGTGTGTTTTAATATGCCTTCTAGGTAATTCTAAAATTTTTTTTTAATGTTTTTATTTATTTTTGAGACAGAGAGAGACAGAGCATGAGCAGGGGAGGGGCAGAGAGAGAGGGAGACACAGAATCTGAAACAGGCTCCAGGCTCCGAGCTGTCAGCACAGAGCCTGACGCGGGGCTCAAACTCACGGACCGTAAGATCATGACCTGAGCCGAAGTCGGAAGCCCAACCGACCGAGCCACCTAGGCATCCCGCCTTCTAGGTAATTCTGATGCATGCTCAAGTTGAGGAACTGTTGTGATAGAGCATCTTTAAAGATACCCAGAAGAGTGGTAAGAGTTGTTAAATCTAGGGAATGGATAGATTACTTTGGTATGTTTGGATTTCCCCTCCATGTGTATTTATCACCTTTTTTGAATAAAAGATTAATTGGGGTGCCTGGTATTAGGGGCACCTGGGTGGCCCGGTTGGTTAAGCACAGGACTTTAGCTCAGGTCATGATCTTATGGTTCATGGGTTTGAGCCCCGTGTCGGGTTCTGTGCTGACAGCTCAGAGCCTGGAGCCTGCTTCAGATTCTGTGTCTCCCTCTCTCTCTCTCTGCTCCTCCCATGGTTGTGCTCTGTCTCTCTCAAAAATAAATAAACATTAAAAAATTAAAAAATAAAATAATTATCAAAACCTGCCACTTTGATGCAAACGGTAGGAAAGTTCAGTTTCTAGAAAACGGAATTATGAGTTCTGAATTATGACTCAAAAAAACAAAACCAAACAAAAAAACAAAACAAAAAAACAGCAGCAGCAACTGGGGCGCCTGGGTGGCTCAGTCAGTTGAGTATCTGACTCTTGATTTTGGCTCAGGTCACAATCCCAGGGTCATGGAAACGAGCCACGTGTCAGGCTCTGCTACTCTGCACTGAGCATGGAGGCTGCTTAAGATTCTCTCTCTTTGCCCTTCTCCCCTACTCACACTCTAGCTCTAAAAGAGAGGAAAAAAAAAAAGAAAAAAACACAACAGCCTACTTTAGACCAAGATTTCAACGTGAAAGATAAAGCATATCTATAAATGACCATGTATGGTTTGGCATAGCAGAGCCAAAGTCTGGTGATAATGAACTTGTTATTTATTGAGGTAAGGTTTTTCAAAAGAAGAAAAACCTTCTGAGAGGTTTCATTAGAATGAGGCAGATTACCCTTCTGTAGAGAATAACAAAAACCCAGAATAAAAGCCAAGACAAAGAGAAAAATTGAACTTTTTTTTTTTTTTTAAAAAAGCACAAAAACCCTACATACTAAAATTGTACACATCAAGTATTGGTCCAATCTTATATCAATCTATTTACATTAAACAGCACCATGGTTTTCTCATCCAGGTTAGTTAAACATGCCCAGAAAATTGTTATGCAAAGTATATTTTCCTTTAAAACAAAATAAATTCTTGAGAGCTCAAATTCTAAACAAACAAGAAAACTTCTTACCAACCATAGATTATTGATGATATCACCCAATGTAACTTAAGAAAAATAGGTTTGAACACTTTTCCAGTTGTCTGACTTTGAGAGATGTTGCTATTAGTCAATGTGGCACACAAATGACAACGAAACTCTTCGATGACAGGGCGTTACAGTCAAATACCCTCAAACCTCTACCTTCAAATATCAAAATACTCCTTCGGAATGAACGCTGCTATCGTCTCTTGAATTTAGATTCAATTATTAGCAATCCTAAATTAAATGTAGCCACAATCTTTAAGATGATTGCATAAAGAAAGGGAAGTAAAGCTCTCAGAAACAGAAGTTACAATTACAGATATTATATCTAATCAGGCTATAGGAAATTTAATGCCATTTTAAACTTTACATTTAATTAGCAGTTTCATTTTGCCATTAAAATTAATAATAATAGTGCTTCTCATCCAAATAGGTGTGGAGGTCTGATCATTTTCCAGGGAGAGCAGTATAAGCACCTTCCTGCCTCTACCTTGCCATCTCACCGAGGCTCGGGGCTACAGTGATTATGGGATAGCCCCCTTCTCATTTGTGGAACTTCGAAAAGGCTCCAAATTAAATATAACCCTTGGCAGCTTTATTCCAGTCATAGTATGAGAGAATCAGGTGCTCTCATCAGATTTTTTTGTCTTCTCATCTAATCTGCAGATGGTTCTTAACTGGACTCTTTGCTAGGAAAGATGAGAGAGGAAAATTGTCATCCACCACAAGTAGAGGTAACAGTGAACTGGAAAGCACTAACATATAAAGCAATATTTCATCATTTGGTCTCACTGCTGATGTTTAAGCGATGTCCGTAAACATACTAGTAAATTAGGAGTTGAAATTTTCTCTTAAAGACTGAAAATAGGCACAATTCTCCCAGGCACAGATACAATGGGTTTTCCTTACACCCTTCCTGCAGAGTGGGGGAGAAGAGAGAATTTACCTTATTATCTTATAGTGGGAACACTTGCCCTTGATTCCTTGCATTCCCTGGCCCAGTGCATTTGGGGGAACATGCTGAAAAGTCCCAAGCACAGTAGGTAGATGAATTGAAGGTATTACATTGTAGTGACCTTCTAAGCCTGGATATAAAAACAGCTTCATCATAGAGACATTTCAAAATATCTATGCAGCAAATGGACAAGTGACTTTTCAAGTGAGTATCAGCTGAAAATCAGAGATCTGACCGCACTGAATTATTGCCTAGTGTTCCAGAAGGGTGCCTGCCACCAATGTGTTGGAAGGCACCAAAATTTAGTGTGAATGTAAATAAGGAGCTCAAGATATGGGGATGGGGAAAGCAATACTAAAACACAATTTGCCAGTCTCTACTCCTTTATGGCTAAATACTATTGAGCAAAGAATCAAGACCAGAATAGAAGTGAACCTTGAATACTGCTCTTTTCAGTTTCCATTTTAAAAAGCTCAAGTTTTATAACTGTTATTGATGATTTCTTGAATCTATTTTTTTTTTTTGATTCTGTATTCACAAGGTGCTTGGTGCTGTTCTTCATGGACATAACATTCTATTTACAGTCCAAATTGTTTAAATACAGTCATTACATTGTTGTTGGCTATTTTAAAATAAATGGTTATCTATTTTTTAACTGCCTTACAAATTAGAAACTGTAATTACATGAGTCTCAAAGGCTGGCTCTTTGTGTTTTATTAATTATTTTTGTTGGTCTCCATCACAGATGGAATTTTTCACTGGTAATTCCTCAGAACTAAATCCATTCATACGGAATTCAGAGCAGTGAAAATAAATTTCACGCCATAGAGTAGGAAATGACAACAACAATAAAAAGGGGTGGGAGGGACCTGGGGACCAGCCAATAGGACCAATCAGTTCTCCACTGGTGTTGGGTTTTGCAAAGGCTGGCTCATTATAACCTGTACAACATAGTCCTTTGGGATCTTCAGCTCTTCCAACTTCATTTTGTCGGTGAGAGGTCTGCCAGAAAAGAACCATCGCTGACTACTCGGTTCCACTCCTTCTGCTGCATGTAGCCTCCTCTTCATGTGGTATACCGTGTCTG